GGTGGCCCGGGTTCGGATCCCGGGTGCGCATCGAGGCACCGCTTCTCCGTTCATCCTGAGGCCGAGTCCCACATACAGCAACTAGAAGGATGTGCAGCTGCGACATACAACTATCCACTGGGGCTTTGGGGGGAAAAAATAAAATAAATAAAAATCTTTAGAAACCATTAAAACATCAATTAAAAAAAAAAAAAAGTCATTCTCCCTGGGCTGGCCCCGTGGCTTAGTGGTTAAGTGCACGCGCTCTGCTACTGGCGGCCTGGGTTTGGATCCCGGGCGCGCACCGACGCACCGCTTCTCCAGCCATGCTGAGGCCACATCCCACATACAGCAACTAGAAAGATGTGCAACTATGACATACAACTATCTACTGGGGCTTTGGGGAAAAAAAAGAAAAAATAAATTTAGTTAGAGACTAAAATGGATGAACACAAAAAATCATACGAAATAGATCTACTTTCTTTCTGTCTCTTTACTAAAACCCTAATTCAACAAATATTTTGTTCATTCAGCAAATATTTACTAAGCATCTACTACATGCTAAGAATTATTCTCTGGGAATATAGCAAGTGAGGGGAAGGGTGTATATATATATACAGTCATGTGTCGCTTAACAACAGGGATACGTTCTGAGAGATCATGGTTAAGCGATTTCATCACTGTGCAAACATCATAGAGTGTACCTACACAAACCTAGATGGTATAGCCTACTACACACCTGGGCTATAGGGTACTAACCTTATGGGACCATCACCATGTATGTGGTCCTTTGTTGACTGAAACATTGTTATACAGCACACGATTGTAGTCCATAAGAGCAGGTATCATAAGAGCAGATATCATACATAATGTATACATATCTTACATATAATTACAATTCATGTAACAATTCATGTTCATACATATATCATTCATATGAACATATACATATATATGAAGGATACCCGCTCTTATGGAGCTTACATTCACTAAGTAGAGACAGACAGTAATCAAATATTCACAATGGCTCCCCAGCGCTTCTTAAGTCTCAGATGACAATGATCCTTCTAAAATCTGGCTCCTACTCACCTCTCTAATCTTATTGCTCATGTTCCTATAGTCACTTCAGTCACTAAATAAGTTTAACTAACTGTTCTAAATATGGCCCTGCATTTTCTCAATTCCCTACCATTCCCTCCATTGGGAAACCGTTGCCACTCATCTACAGATATTACTAATCCTGCTAAGGCCCAGCTCAAGAGCCACTGCTTTCTACAAGCAGATACCTCCCAGCTAAAAGTGACCTCTCTTCCTCCTATGAACCCCTAAAGCACTAACAACTATTGTGATACCAACTATACTGGGCTGTGCACTAAACTATCTTTGTCATCTCTGACTAAACGCTTTCATACTCAGGGCGTGCTTCACGGGTGTGCAACCCATCTTGTGCTTGGTTTAATGCTTTGGTGTCAGCTATCTTGAAATGCTTAATGAATTGTGAACAAGTAGTCCTACATTTTCAATTTGTACTAGAAATTATGTGAATTATGTAGCCAGCCTGTTCATGTTAAACATCTCATGTGAACCTCAGTCAAAAAAAATCATGAAAAGTAAGCAGGGAAGGTATTGTAATGCTCATTTTTTAAAAAAGAGACCTTAACTTCCATAAATTCTGGGTACAGGCTGCTAAACAGGGATAACTGATCCTCTCTCGATTAAAAAGATAAAAGTAAGCCAAGTTGGGGCCGGCCTGGTTGGCACAGTGGTTAAGTTTGCGTGCTCCCCTTCAGCGGCCTGAGGTTTACAGGTTTGTATCCCGGGCGCGGACCGATGCACCACTCATCAGTGGCCATGCTGTGGCGGCATCTCATATACAAAATAGAGGAAGATGGGCGCAGATGTTAGCTCAGAGCTAATCTTCCTCAGCAAAAAGAGGAGGAGTGGCAATGGATGTTACCTCAGAGCCAGTCTTCCTCAAAAAAAAACAAACAAAAAAAAGCCAAGTCAGCTCAGAAATAAACTTTCGTGTAGATGGTCAACTGATCTTCCACAAAGGTGGATATTTTTGAGCATCAAAGGACATAATCAATAGAGTGAAAGGCAACCTATAGAATGGAGAAAATACTTGCAAATCATACATCTGACAAGAGGCTAATATCCAGAATATATAAAGAATACCTACAGCTTAACAACAAAAAATCATATAACTGGATTAAAAAATGGGCAAAGATGGTGGTGAACATGATGCAGTCTATACAGAAACTGAAATATAATAATGTACACCTGAAATTTACACAATGTTATAAGCCAATATGATCTCAATAAAATAATTTTTAAAAAATGGGCAAAGGACTTGAATAGACATTTCTCCAAAGATGATATACAAATGGCCAACAAGTATACAAAAAGATATTCAGTATCGCTAATCATTAGAGAAATGCAAATCAAAAACCACAATGAGGGGTGGCCCGGTGGCGCAAGTGGTTAAGTGTGCGCGCTCCGCTGTGGCGGCCCGGGGTTTGCCAGTTCAGACCCCGGGCGCGCACTGACGCAGCGCTTGGCAAGCCAGGCTGTGGCGGCGTCCCATATAAAGTAGAGGAAGATGGGCATGGATGTTAGCCCACGGCCATTCTTCCTCAGCAAAAAGAGGAGGATTAGTAGATGTTAGCTCAGGGCCAATTTTCCTCACATACACACACACAAAAAACCACAATGAAATATCACCTCACACTCACTAGGATGGCTACTATTAAAAAAACCGAAAACAAAAAGTGTTGGCGAGGATGTGGAGAAATTGTAACCCCTGTGCACTGCTGGTGGGATCATAAAATGGCACAACCACTGTGGAAAACAGTATAGAGGTTCCTCACAAAATTAAAAAAAAGAACTACCATATGATCCAACAATCTCACTTCTGGGTATATATCCAAAAGAATCGAAAGTAGGGACTCAAAGAGATATCTGCACAACCTACGTTCATAGCAGCAACTATTCACAGTAGCCAAGAAGTGGAAATAACCCAAATGTCCATCAATAGATGAATACATAAACAAATGTGGTATATACATACAATGGAATACTATTCAGCCTTAAAAAGGAAGGAAATCCTGTTAACATCCTACAACATGAATGAACCTTGAGGACATTATGCTGAGTGAAATAAGCCAGTCACAAAGAGGCAAATACTGTATGAGTCCACTTATATGAGGCATCTAAAGTAGTCAAATTCATAGAAACAGAAAGTAGAACTCTGGTTAGCAGGAGCTAGTGGAAGGTGAGAGAGGGGAGTTGTTGTTTTATGGGTATAGAGTTCCACATTTGTAAGATGAAAATATTCTGGAGATCTGTTTCACAACAATGTGAATAAACTTACTACTGAAGTGTACACTTAATTAAGATGGTAAATTTCATGTTATGCGTTTTAACACACACATACACACACACACAGCCAAGTCAGAAAACTAATTACTTTCTTTGTAGAATTACTTTGTGCAAATAAATATAAACACTTTTATACTCAGAAAACTTTGTTACCTGCAACAAATCCAATTACCAGATCTTTTCCAGTAGTAGAATGTTGACCTTTGACCCAGACTGCTTTGAGGCTATTAAAAGTGTAGAAATAGACAAAATTGGAGCAGCAGAGACTGGAGATAACTGGAAACCACCCTCGATATGGTGCCAGGCTAAAGGAAAAACACAATAGGCAAAGTAAAGATGCTGGACAAAAGCCACTAGAAATGGGCAAAGCCCTAAGAAAGGGTGATCATCATTCACATATTCTCAAAGTCCACTCCCACACTACAATGTGCTCCAAACTGTACACTTATCTTACATTCTGAAGGATGCCCAAACCAAGAAATCTTTTCTAGAATTAATGAGACCAAAGAAACAACACACATTCAATGACTGATTAACTGATTCTCCCCCTTGATTTTCTTTAGTAAATTATTACATAAAATTAGAGACAATTTCCTCATGGCTGTTAATATAGCATCATTCATATTTTATTACAGGGCAGGAACATTTAAATATTTAAAATGAAGTAAATATAGAAAATAGTGCAAAAGAAAAAAAAAGTGACAGGGGCATGTTATAAGGGCACAGGAACCAGACTAAAGAGGTTCCCATTGGCCAAACCTGGACAACTTGAGCACCAAAATAATAAAGTATAGTAATCAATTGTAAACCACTGAAAAAACAGAAATTTCTAAGTTCATACTGATAGTAAATAAAATATCTCCTTATAGACTGCTTATAGTTGCAAGAGAGGAGAAACAAAATTATTCAGTGGCTAACTTGAATCTAAAAAATAATTAACCAATGAAGGGCAGGTGGACAACATGTGACTCCAGATGTGATACCCTGAGAAGGGCACAATATCATCTATGCATTATTCTGGCCAAGAATGCATAGCCTCAATCTAATCATGAAGAAACATGAGGCAAACATAAAATGAGAAACATCTTATTTTAAAAAAGGGGAGAGGGGGACTATATTCTTTAAAAAATGTCAATATCATAGAAGTAGGGGGCTTTGATGTTTGGTATGTACCTTATTCTCAAATAATTCTGAAAAAATTTGTGTGTGGTGTGTGTAACAGAGAGAAGGGCGGAGGGAGGGAGAGAGCATGAACACAAATGGTAAAACAAATGGGAAAAAGTGTTAACAATAGGTGAATCTGGGTAAAGCATACACTGGTATTTGTACTATTTTTAGTTTTGCACCTTTTCATAAATTTGAAATTATTTCCAAATGAAAAGTTAAAAAAAAAAAAAGAAGTAAATAATCTGTCTGAATGCATCTGATAGGGATGAACTAATAAACAACTACTATCTTCCTCAGTTTACTGTACATAAAACAAAGCACTGGTTTCATGGAAGACTCTATAATCAAGGATCAAAATGGCCAACCACAGAACGTTAACAAAATGAAACAACTATGTACTTACTTAAGTCAGGCAATTACAAATTCACAACACTATGAGGCTATGAGAATGACAGAAAGTGAGTATAGGTGTGTTAGAGGCCTATGAAACTCCTAACGAGCAGCTTTGTCTAACAAAGATGAACAAGGTAATACTCACAGGCCTTCTTCTTTAATGATCTCCAGGAGCACCATGTGTGTAGTTTTAGACTTTCTTTTCTCATCAACTATAAGATGAAATAGCATACGTTTAAACTAAATCCTTTGAGAATTATTTTCAACAATAGAAAGTTTCACTGAAATGCCATTTACCTCACCTGAGCAATCTCCCACCCTATTCTTTGAGCTCCCTACTTTGCCTCAGAACTCAATGATCCTCCTGTGTCATGCTCTAAATTCCCAACTGTAGATTCCTTGGTTTTCATCTGTTATTCATGAACCATAAAGCATTTTATTTCAATACCTAATTTCCAAAGTGAAAGATGAGAGGAGAAATTTATTCCTTACATTTCATAAGGCTCTCTTGTTTTTTTCCCTAGGTTACATATTCTCATTTTTATCTTAACATCTTATAAAGTAGAGAGGAAATAAATTGTTGTTGATACAGGCTGTCAAGTCGGTTCCGACTCCTGGCGACCCTATGAATGAGCGATGTCCACAATGTCCTGTCCCCAAAGCCCTACTGAGCTTCTGCAGACTTACGCCTATGGCTTCCTTTATGGAGTCAATCCATCTCATACTTGGTCTTCCTCTTTTCTTCTGCCTTCTACTTTTCCCAGCATTACTGTCTTTCCAAAGAATCCTGCCTTCTCATGATGTGTCCAAAGTAGGATACCCTCAGTTTTATCATTTTTGCCTCCAGCGATAGCTCAGGCTTAATTTGCTCTAGGACCCACTTGTTCATCTTTCTGGCAGTCCAGGGTATCCATAGAGCTCTCCTCCAACACCATACTTCAAATGAATCAATTTTCTTCCTGTCAGCCCTCTTCACTGTCCAGCTTTCACACCTGCACATTGTAATTGGGAATACAAGGGTGTGGATAATCTTGGCCTTAGTTTCTAACGACACTTCCTTATAGCTTATGATCTTTCTTAATTCTTTCATTGCTGCCCTTCCAAGTCTCAGTCTTTTCTTGATTTCTGGGCTGCAGTCTCCACGTAAATTGATGACTGAACCAAGGCAAACAAAACCTTTAACAATTTCAATGTCTTCACTATCTATGTTAAAAGTTGTGTAGTTCTTCTGTAGTCATGATTTTTGTCTTCTTGATGTTCAAATGCAGTCCTGCTTTGGCACTTTCTTCTTTCACTTTCATCAGAAGTCGTTTCAAGTCATTGCTGAAATAAATTACCATCTCCCTTTTAGAAAAGAGGCTATAGACACAAAAGCTGTGAAGGACACATGTAGTTGGCAGCACAGCCAGAATTAAAACCCGAATTTCCAAAGTTTTAACCTTGCGCTCTGTTTCCTAACCTAAAAAATAAAAGGTCTCAGAAGGATGAGAATTCTGCTTTTCTTGGCATTTTCACTGAAAACAAAACCCTCTTCAATTAAATTCCAATTTCTTATCCACATTTGAAGAATATTTTGAAAACATAAAAATGTGGAAACAAACCAATTTCCTAAGAATTAAAATTGGTACCTATATGGCTCAGGGGATGGCAAATTAGGAAATCCCTATAGAAGGCAATCTGGCAATAACTCTCAAAATTGCACATTTACCCTTTGATTCAGCAATCCCACTTCTGGGAATTTATCCTATAAAACTTACAGAAACAAAGTAGTATATGAACAAGTCTATTCTACATAAGAGAAGAAATAACCCAAGAATCTATAATAGGGGAAGGGTAAACAGGTTATGGTGTATCCACACCATGGAACACTCTACAGCTAGAAGAAAGGATGAAGAAGCTTCCAATGCAGTGATTTGGAAAACATTCAAAATATGGTGTTAAGTGAAAAATGCAAGATATAGAACAGTGTGAAAAGTATGCTTTTTGTGTAAGAAAGGGAGAAAATTAAGAATATATGTTTTTATATGCTTGTTATTCCATAAAGAAACTCTGCAAGGCTATTCAAGAGACTAATAAAGATACCATCTGCAGAGGAGAGAAAGGGGGAATGGGGCAAACTGAGTGAGATTCTTCACTGTACTGTGTATCTTTTTACATATTTTGGGTTTGAGGTCATATGAAATTATTATCTATCCAAAAAACTCTAAAATTAATTAAAAATAATAGTCATCAAGGGTTTTAACATAGGAATTAGTTTATTCAAAGCTAATCTTACTCATCTCTTCATGTAAGTTCTGGCATAGGTTTAGAATTCCAAGTTGAAAAATACTGAGGAAAAAACAAACAGGAGTTAGAGAGCTGCACAGTCCTATAAGGAGAAAGACACAAACTAGGACTACATGCCGAGGTTGACAATGACAGTGGGTACTTGGCTCCATTATGTTTCCTATTCTCTTTCGAGAAAATCTACTCCAGCAAAAACTCTTTATGCTGTACCTTAAAAAAGTCATTTTGTTTATTAGAAAGAATTGCAATAATTCAAAACTACTAATGTCAGCCCACTCAGGTTCTCTTGGACTAGAAAATGGCTGAGGCTATGACTCATCCATGAACACTTCTCTGTTAATTAGGAAACAGCGATGATGACCAGGATTTAAAGTCAGTGAAAGTGGACAACATTTGATCTCTAAAGAAACAGAATATCCTTTTGTTCATTTAGAACTTACTAGAGAAATACATTTGCTTCCTGACATCAAATGAACACGAATATGATGACTGCAAAACACACTCACCCTGAAGTCGAAGTCGAGCTGTATCCAAGGGAAAAAATACTGTCATTGCTGTCACGCTTCCCTGCAAAGTTTGAAAAGCCTTTAGGCATTACAGTATCACAAAAATAATGAGCAACAGCTTTTAAATGAACAAAAGTTCAGTATTAACAATGGGTCAAATCAGATTTTCAGTGAGCAAATACATACAATATTTTTATCTACTGTGATTATTATAGTTCAAACTTCTATAGTTGCATACTTAAACAGAAGTATTTCATTTTCCAGAAGAAATCTCTTTCTAGCTCTCTGATATTGAAAAAGAAAATGTAGTGGGTCCCTGCAGATGACAAACTTAGGGGTTTGCAACCTAGGACAAGCCAAAGATAGCAGTTAAATGGATTTTTAACCTTTTACAGCTCAGTTACTGCTCCTATGCTGTCTCTCTGATACCCTAGAAACCAAAAAATCCAGTAATCCATAGATACATGCTTCTGTTCTTTGTGTTTAATCAATACATTCGCCACAAAGTAAAAGAGCTTTAAGAATCATATTGTTCTTTAGTTTTGTTTGCTTGTGTTTTAAATAAAATAGGGACAATCTCTTTGCTAAAAATTCTATAAATAATTCATCCAAGGTAACACAATGACAAAACTTATAAGGGGAAAAAAAAAAAAAAGAAGCCAACAATCTGTCTTTCCATTCATAAGACCCTATGACATGGGCTGGCCCCGTGGCTTAGCGGTTAAGTGCGCGCGCTCCGCTGCTGGCGGCCAGGGTTCGGATCCCGGGCGCACACTGATGCACTGCTTCTCCAGCCATGCTGAGGCCGCGTCCCACATACAGCAACGAGAAGGATGTGCAGCTATGACATATGACTAGCTACTGGGGCTTTGGGAGGGAAAAAATAAATAAATAAAAAAATCTGGGGCCAGCCCCGTGGCATAGCGGTTAAGTGCGTGCACTCTGCTGCTGGTGGCCCGGGTTCGGATCCCGGCCCCCCACCGACTCACCGCTTGTTAGCCCATGCTGTGGCCGCATTCTACATAAAGTGGAGGAAGATGGGCACGGATGTTAGCTCAGGGCCAGCCTTCCTCAGCAAAAAGAGGAGGATTGGCATAGATGTTAGCTCAGGGCTGATATTCCTCACACACACACTCAAAAAAATCTTAAAAAAAAAAAAAGACCCTATGACAGATAAAAACCACAAGCATATAGTTAGGGATGAAATTATACACATGAAATCTCCAGTTGGGTTTATGGTTCTCAACCCAGATACAGGCCCACTGGTGTATAGTCGCAGGCATAAGATCAAATTTTAGGCTACTGATCTAATAATGGTTAAGTACAATATTTTAATCATGATAACAACTGGAAACTAGGTCAACTTGATAGATAAAAACAAAAATCGCTAGGTCTCTTATCCATTTAAATAGGTCAGCCTGCTTGACAAGGGAGAACACTGTATTGTCCTATAAATGTTCTTCAAAACTCAGATTAAATGTCACTACCCCCTATGCATCACTTTACAACTGATTGCTCACTCCTCTGTGTTCCCACAGCATGTGTTTATACGTCTCCTTTTTTTTTTTAAGTCTCCCTTCGCATTTATTTTTTTATTTATTTTTGTGAGGAAGATCAGCCCTGAGCTAACATCCATGCCAATCCTCCTCTTTTTGCTGAGGAAGACCGGCTCTAAGCTAACATCTATTGCCAAACCTCCTTGTTTTCCCTTTTTCTCCCCAAAGTCCCAGTAGATAGCTGTATGTCATAGTTGCACATCCTTCTAGTTGCTGTATGTGGGACGCCACCTCAGTATGGCCGGAGAAGCGGTGTGTTGGTGCGCCCCCAGAATCCGAACCCCGGCAGCCAGTAGCAGAGCGCATGTACTTAACCGGTAAGCCACCGGGCCCTATACGTCTCTTATGGCACGTATATTCCAATGAAATCTAACTTTCACCAGATTGTAAGAATATTCATTCTATTTCTTTGTATATCATAGATTCTTAATTAAATGTCTATTAAATTCACTCTACTTTCACAGTTATGCTTTTTTGATGACTCGAACATAAATGTTCTTTTCTAGTAAGGACAAGATAATATTTAATGTCTTAAGAAACAATGGACCCACAAAGGTTTATAGTCTACAAATCTATGCTTCCAGCATCTTTGCTCATCTTACAGGCAATTTTCAAAAAAAAAAAATGGGGGCCGGCCCGGTGGCACAAGCAGTTAAGTGCGCGCGCTCTGCTGCAGCGGCCCGGGGTTCACCGGTTCGGATCCTAGGTGCGCACTGACGCACCACTTGGCAAGCCATGCCGTGGCGGTGTCCCATATAAAGTGGAGGAAGATGTGCACGGATGTTAGCCCAGGGCCAGTCTTCCTCAGCAAAAAAAGAGGAGGATTGGCAGATGTTAGCTCAGGGCTGATCTTCCTCAAAAAAAAAAAAAAAAGGGGGGGGCTGTAAAGCTGGAGAATGCTTATTAAGGTTATTAAGGCTGTGGCTTTTATTTCCTATCGCATGGTACTATGTGTCTATGCAGGGTACCAGGCAGACAGGGCATCTCCAGGCAGAAAAGTCCTGCCTGGAAACTACTTTTTCAAACAACTGGGCTGCCTCCATCCCTCTTCCCTGCCGGCTTTAAATAGATACCTGAAGGTTCCTAACTTAGAAGCCCCTGTTCTACCCCCTACCTACCTTGAAATCCTAAAGTGAAGTATATCTTATACCAAGATAAAGAGAACAGTCAGTCCAAAGAGCTCAATGGTCTACTACCTCCTTAAGGACTGGCATAAAAAATTCAAATCAGTAAAACTAAATAACACTTTTTAAAAGTTACTAGTACTGGGAAGACTGATCAGGATGGTGAACTGAAAACCCACCATTGCCTCCTCCCCGTTCCAATCACTAATAATGACAGAAAAGATTGATACATGAAAGTGTTATATAGAAAAACCAAGAGGGGTCTGATTGATGGACCAGAAATTAAAAGGATAGCAGAGTGAGGCTGTTTTGAAATAAGAAATTACAGACCAAAATGCACAGAAGATAGGTGTAGTAGGCAGAATAATGTCCCCCCCCCACCAAGATGAGTCCTAATCCTCAGTATCTGTGAACACGTTATATTACCTGGCACGATGTTAATCAGCTGACCTTAAAATAGGGAGATTATTCTGGATTATATGAGTGGGCCCAGTGTGATCACAAGGGTCCTTAAAAATAAAAGAGTTGGTGGGAGTGAGGACTCAACCCATCATTTCTGGCTCTAAGATAGACCAACAGGCCACTAGCCAAGGAATGTGGGAGGCCTCTAGAAGCCAGAAAAGGCAATGAAATGGATTCTCCCCTAGAGCCTCCAGAAAGGCACAGAGCCCTACTGACATAGTGATTTTGGCTCAGTGAGACCTGCATCAGACTTCTGACCTACAGACCCACAGATATTAAATTTGTGTTGTTTTAAGCCACTCAATCTGTGGTAATTCGTTATAGCAGTAACAGAAAACGAATACAACAGGATTCCTACAAAGGGTGGGGAGAAGCATGGGGAAGCAGAAGGGAGCTCTGGGGTGATGTTTTGGTTGACTAGTTGGGTACCATGACAATCGCAGCCAGGCAGTCCCAGTCCCTGGCAGTCACTGTGAATACGGAAACCTGGACTTGCCTAAGGTGAGTAGGAACATTCAACTGGAACAGGAAACTCCAAGCCCAGAAAGCTAGTCACCGTCACATCTTACCAGAAGCCACCTTTTCACCACAATCCCTGGAGGCCGGCAGCACTAAACAGATAGGCACAGGCTGTAGAGGGATGTGGAGTGGGGAGGAAATGAAAAGCTTACCAGTTTTACCCTATTTAAAGACAAGATATGCCCATACACAAGAATTTATTCTAGGCTTTGTTAGAAAACCTAAGTTTAAATGTGAGAGTTAAAAATTTAAGGGTGGGTCGGGGGCTGGCCTGGTGGTGTAGTGGCTAAGTTCGAGTGCTTCACTTCGGCAGCCTGGGGTTCACAGGTTGGGATCCTGGGCGCGGACCTACGTACCACTCATCAAGCCAGCTGCGGCAGCCTCCCATATAAAGTAGAGGAAGATGGGCACGGATGTTAGCCCAGGGCCAATCTTCCTCAGCAAAAAGACAGGAGGATTGGCAATAGATGTTAGCTCAGGGCTAATCATCCTCAAAAAAAAAAAAAAAAACTTTAAGGGGGAAATGGGAGCTTCCATTTCCAACAATGTGGTGGGCTAGACAACATGCTACAAAATATCTAGAACTGTTAAATAAAGTATAAAATATATAAAAATATATATATAACAAACACCAGCTGAGCTTACATGCAAGTAAGGGAAATCCACTGAGGCCAGAAAGAAGAGTAGAAACCCAGAGGATTAAGCAGGCTCTTCAGCTCTGGTTGCCTGAGGATTTTTTGCAGCTAAGTGATCAAGGGGCTTTATTAGTTTTAAATTGAAGTAGAATTCCCATAACATAAAATTAACCATTTTAAAGTATACCATTCAGTGACATTTAAATACATTCACAATGTTGTGTAACACCACCTCTATGAAGTTCCAAAATATTTTCATCACCCTAAAAGAAAACCCCATACCCGTTAAGCAGGCATGCCCCATTTCCCCCTCCACTCAGCCCTGACCATCACTAATCTGCTTTCTGTCTCTATGGATGTATCTATTCTGGATATTTCACATAAAAACTATTATGCAACATGTGACCTCTTCTGTCTGGCTTCTTTCACTTAGCATAGTGTTTCAAGGTTTATCTACCTTGTAGTATTTATCAGTTCTTCATTCCTTTTAACAGCCAAGTAATAGCCCACTGTGTGTATATACTACATTTTGTCTATCCATTCAAAATGTTTTGGAATGAGATAGAGGTAGTGGTTGCATAAAATTGTGAATGTACTAAGTACTACTGAACTGTACACTTTAAAATGGCTAATTTTACGTTACGTGAATTATACCTCAATTAAAAATACAAAAACATTTAATTCTCACAACAACCCCATGAAGTTAAGTACTATTATTCTCTCCACTTTAAAGATGAGGAAAAAGATACTAAGAGGTTTGCAAGT